AGGTCTGTCGAGATCGACAATAATAGGGTTCCCGGGCCTACTCAAAAAAGTATTCGGGTTTGTCTCGCAATCGAAAATTAATTAATCTAAAATATGTAGTATTTGAATCGTTGAAATAAGAAAAAGAATGGTGAAGAAAAAAACTAGAAGAAAGAAACGAATTTGAATTAAATTGAATAAAACAACTTCAACAAGAATGTAGGCAACAAGAAATGGAAATAAATTGTGCAGGGAAAATAAATGAAATAAACCTGGATTATTGTTGCATTGTGTTGGTACGGATAGGATTATGTTGTTATCTCATTTCCTTGATTTTCTCTATTTTCTTTTATAGTTTGTTATTTATCCTAAATTTTCTTCACCTATCCCCTTTCTTAGGAGTTAGGAACCACTTTAACCATCTTCTTCATCACTTCCACTCCTCATCGGTCCAGCATTAATGCTCCTCTGGGCCGATTTTATTTGTTGGGCTTGTCTTTAGTTCATTCGGATTGGACTGCTTCTCCTTCGGACCGAGTCATTTTGAATTGCTGGGTCTTTGTATATGTTTGACTACTTTCTAAAAAACTCGAGTGTAAATTATTTGGAGATAACAATAACATTGGTAAATTCTTTATTTATTATTTATATATATGCTCTCTCGATCATGATAGATTTTTTTTTTTTTTTTGATGAGTTGATATTTTTTACCTTTTTTATATTTTTATATTTTTGAATACCCTCTGTCCACTTGATCATTTTTGTTGTCTAAATATATTTCCTGTTTTAGTATGTGTCATCTAGTACACATTAGAAATTTACATTTATACTTATTTATATAAATACAAGTGTAATACTCATGTTATGCATGGGTGCATTATTATGAAAATATATAATAATTATTATAAATTTAAGTTATAAATTATATTTATATTAGATATTTAAAATTTTTAAAATTATTTTTTCAATTTATTAAAAAAATTAATAAAAATATTGGTATTTTAAAATTTTAAATTTATTTAAACTTAAAATTAAAAAATATAATATGTTTGATTTGAAGTTTTTTGTTTGTTCAAATAATAATTTTATATTTTTTATTAAAAAAATAATATATTTTTATTAAAAAATTTATAATAAAAATACAAAAAGGTATTGCAAAATAAATAAAATCTTGTATTTTAGAAATCAATAAAATATTAGTATATAGATTCAATTTTATATTTTATTAAAATCGCAAATAACTATGAGTACCTTATATAAAAAAAAATACTCCTTCAAATCATTTCACAAAATAATCCACCAAATATATATAAATCTAATTACGAATTTTCTATACTTCACGTTCAAAAAAATCTTAAATATAATTATCTATTTAAATTATTAAAATAGCAATTACTATACAATATTAAAGTTGATAATATTAACTAAAAAAAATACAATCTAAATGTATTAAATTACATATATCACTACATATTATAAAATAAATTATACAAATAAAACAATACTTAAATTAATATATTTGAATCTAGTTAATAGATTATAATAACTAAGAGTAGAATATACGTAGAAAACAAAATTAACAAAAAAAGAAATTAGATAAAATTAAATTAAAAAATAAATATACAATTATAAGTACGATTGAATTGTATTTCAAATAAAAACTATCACTATTCAGCTGACATGATTTTCAATTAAAAATAAATTATTTTTTCTTACTAAACTAAAATTTTCAAATAATAAGACTCATTTTTTTAATTTATATACGTGTATAATATGAGAAAAGATACACATACTAAATATATATATTTTATAAGATCATACTAAAAAATAATTTTAACAATTAAAAAATAAATAAATAATATTAAATTAATAAATTTAGTGTTTTTTTACCTTTTTTTTTTTTTTCTTCTTTCCATTATTATTTTTCAGATCCGATCTAATTTTTCTCCACGTTGACCTTATGTTCATTTATTCTCCGCATTTTATGCTTTAAGTTAAAACAAACCCAATATAAAATATACAAAGAAAATATAATAAAAATGAGGTTGAAGACAAAAAAATATATATATATATAATAGATATATATGTCTATACGTACCAAAAGATCATTCTAGGAATTAAAGAAAAAAAAAATAATAAATTAATAGTATCACTGTTTATCATATGTCTTTTTCCTTTTCTTTTATTTATATTTATATTTTTTAATTCGAGTTAATATTTATGTTTCGACCTTATTATTATTTGTTCTGAGATTGAAAAAAAAGAAAAATATAATAGATATTATACTAAATTAAAATTTTCAAAGAATAATACTCATTTTTTAATTTATATACATATGTAAAATGAGATGAGATACACATACTCAAATATATATTTTTATAAGATCATACAAAACGTGTTTTTAAAAATTAAAAAATAAATAAATAAATAATATTAAATTAACAAATTTAGTTTTTTCTCACCCTTTTTTTTTCATCATCATTCTCCAAATCCGATTAAATATTTCTTCATGTTCGACTCTATGTTTATTTGTTCTCCGCCTTATCTGCTTTGAGATAAAATAAACACAATATAAGATATAAAAAAAAGGAAAATAAAAATGACATTGAAGACAAAAAATATATATATATATAATAGATATATATATGTCTATACGTATATATGCTAACGGGGTATATTCAATGTAGATTTTATAGGATTTAACTTAGACTTTTAAAATTTGGGTGTATTAAATTCAAACTTTTAAAAGTTTTTAAACTTTTGAGGTATTCAACAATCCATAAATTTTAAAAATCTATGGATTTTATTGGATTTTAATGAAAAATTCTGAAAAATGTTCTAATGTATAAAATCTCTCATTGTGAACATAGATTTTGATAAATTTTTAAAATTATTATTATTATTATTATTATTATTATTCATACTGCTGTTGTTGTTGTGTAACAGATAATAATACGATAATATTTATTAAGATCATTATAATTTTTAATAAAAATAATAATTTAAAACTAAAATATATTAACAATTATAATTAATTTTTTTCCAAATTATATATTTTTATATTATAAATATAATATTAAAATTTTTTATTAGCATAATAAAATGTATTACTATCGTGTTTCTGTTTCAATTATCAAATGCAATATATTATCATTTCGGTGTTATTCTCCAATTTTCAGTTATCGAATACAATATATTGTTATTATGGTGACAATGGAATAAATATTTAAATATATATTGAACCTTTAGTTTATATTTATTTACTTTTTTATTTTATTTTTTTTTCCAAAAATTGTAAATTATTTTTTTTATTTTATTTATATACCAATATTTATTTTTTATGTAAAAAAGTTATATAAATAATAACAATATAATAATATATAATATTAATTTGGTATATCGAATGATAATATAATACTAAAATTATAAAATAAAAAATATTATTATACAATATAGTAGTGTTATATATGTTACAATACTTCTACATTATTAATAATTATATATTATTCATTAATATCAATTTTATTTTTATAAAAATATAATAATATATAATAAGTTTAATTATAAATATATTATATTTATAAAACTTGTGTTTAATATAAATTTATACAAATATATATACCACTAAAAAAAAAATTATAATACAATTCTACGAAATCTATATAAATGCATAAAAAATTCAATAAAATTTGTAAAAATTCATTTAAATCAATTACTAACATCAAACTCAGCATAGAATGTATGGATTTTCTAAAGACACATAAATCATACTTTTAAAAATTCAAAAAAATCCATTTAAATTTTAATTGAATACACCGTTAATTAAAATTTGAAAGAATAAGACTCAATCCGTAAAATTTATATATGAGATAAAATATATGTAATATATAAGATAAAGTTTTTCATTAATGAATTATTAAATTCTTTTAAATGATAAAATCCTCACATTATTTTTACCAAAATTGATTTTTTTAAAAGAAAATCTAAAAAACTTCTACAAGTTGTGGTGTTTAGAATTGAGGACGGTGGATCCGACGCCATTCTCAAAAAAAATTATATATATACATATGTATATGTAGGCTCGTCTTCGAGTTTTCTTAGGCTCTGAACCAAAATAAATTATAGGCCCTATAAATATATTTGTTGAGCACAAAATAATGGATAGGTTTTTAGGAAATGGGCCTGCCAAGATTAGGTCATCCGAAATGTCCAATGGGCTTTTGAAAGTCCAAATATGATTGCAGTAACCAGGTCGGATGAGTTTTGAATTTGTCCAAAACTGGTCGGGTAAATCCCCTAGGTCGGGCGAATGAGGAGATTGGACCTGGTCGGGACCAAGTAGTTCGGACGTCAAAATCGGACCTAATCAGGTCAAAATCCGAGGGTCAGATTTAAGAAAGTCGGACGGTTGATAAGATTGGACCTGGTCGGGACCAAATAGATCGGATATAGAAGTCGGACCTAGTCGGGACAAATTCCAAAGGGTTGGGCATAAGAAGGTTAGGTATTAAAAAAAAAAATAGTTATCCTATAGGTCGGGTAAAATGCAGTTTCTGGTAGTGGGGAGTAGTTTCGATTGGTGAGCGGTTTTTAAAATCGGACATGACGTGATGGTTCTCATACGTGTCGATAGAAGAGAATTTTTTGGGGAGTTAACAGCGGTTATGGTAACCGACCGGATAGCGGTTCGAACCGTATCTTCAAGGGGTTATTTAAAGATTCTATACGGTATAGAGAGGGAATCTTCAATCGACATCAAATTCAAGAAAATCGCTTTTGGGGATCACCACTTTATTTTCCAGTCTTTATTTCATTCTACAGTGTTTAGAAGTTTCTAATTTCAGACATTCATCTATCAAATTCGGGAATATTTCTCTATTTTCGAATTTTACTTTTTATTGTTGAAAAAACGCATCAACAATTTCGGCGACCACAGTGGGAGTCGAGGCAAGATTGCTGATCCTATGTTAACGGAGAGTTTCATACGATTGAGATCCGGCCGAATCTTCGGAAGGATCCACATGGCAGGCTCACAGCCTCAATCATCGTCGGCACCGGTGGGAGAAACGGTTCCACCACCTGTCATGCCAAATACAAGAGAAATGCCACAAACACCCGCTGACTGGGTTTCTTATGTTCAGCAATTGAACAACCAGCATAATTTGGCCATGCAGAATATGTTGCACGAGCAACAAATGTTGCGCGAACAACAAAATCTTATGCAAAATACGCTAAATCAGGCGTTATCAAGGGTTACTTTGCAACCCATCCAAACGCCACCAGAACTATCACCATCCAGGTTACAGGCAAATTTTGCGGGGCCTTCATATGTGGACAGCACTTTTCCAAGTGTTACCGCCCCAAGGGTTGACAGAGGGAAGACTCCTCTTACATACCCGAATAATATTCCGTTGGGTGGTAGGACCGAGCCTACCGATCTCAGAGGGGACAGATTGGGAGGCCAGGCTCACAATCCTATTCAGGTATTGGATCCTGTCCTACCCAGAGTAGACCCAGAGGACATTGCTCAGGTTTTAAGGGTACATTTTGGAATGAACCCCCAGACGGTCAACAGACCTGCGTACCAAAGACCATTTCCAGAAAGAATCATCAACGAACATCCGCTTCCAAGGAATTACAGACCACCCGATTTTCATTCGTTTTCTGGAGAGGATGGGGCATCAACTATAGAACATATGGGACGTTTCACGGCCCAATTAGGAGAAGTAGGCAATAATTCTTTCTATAAACTACAATTGTTCGGGTTATCACTCACAAGGACCGCGTTTTCATGGTTTGCAAATTTGCCACCCGGGCAGTTGCAAACCTGGGAAAGCCTGGAGGCAGCATTCCATGCAAGATTTTTTAATCCTCTCCCGACAGTCTCACTCACAGATCTTTTAGAGATCAGACAGATGCCATAAGAGACCGCGTATCAGTTTATTGAACGGATACGACTCATGAAAGGCAGATGCCCGACCATCATCGAAGAAAGTGAAATGACCAATTTGGTGGTCAGAAACATGCATTCCAGACTTCGGGAGGCATTGACAGCCCATGATGTTCAGGACTTGGCTAGTCTGGCCTCCAAAGCAGGGAGATTAGAATATTTGTTCAGAGAAAAAGATCACAACTTTCATCGGAACAGGGTACAGCAAATGGCAAGTGTTGATACAGAGATTTATTCGCCAGAAGAAGGAAATGTTCTTGAAGAAATGACAACCGAAATTGTGAATGGCAAACCGTACGTATACTCGAAACTTAAGCCATTGCCAGGAACAGAGGAGAGGGAGCAGCCGACTTTCGATGTATCCAAGGTCGACGAGATCTTCGATATTCTATTGGCAGACGGGCAGATTCGTATTCCTAAAGGGTAAAGTTTGGCAACGAAAGAGGAAATAAAGGGAAGGCCATACTGTAAGTGGCATAATTCCTTTACTCATTACACTAATCAATGCACACATTTCCGAAAGGAAATACAGAAGGCTATCAAAGCAGGGAGATTCAAGTATGTAACAATGGGAGTAGAACATCAGCCCTTCCCAAAAGTAACTACTGCAATGATCTCTTTGTGGTCTTCACAAGTTGTGCAAAGTGATGATGAAGAAGACACCGAACGAAAAGAACGCAAACCTAAAGAACAAGAATCCAATCAGGAAGTGAAGTTCAAAGTTTGCGAAAATAGAGTGGCAGAGAAATGGGACAGAGGAGACGGGTCGTTCAAGGTAGAATTGAAAGATAAAGTCGTGGTACGGGACCGACCAACACGCAAACCACATCCAGTCCAAGAGAAGTGGAGCCGAAAAAGAAAGCCTCTGCCAATAAACATAGACCCTCGATTTCCAGGTATGAATCGCACACAAATGCGTAATGCTAAACGCAGGTATGCAGCACGGCATGGAAAGCGAATAGATAAAGGCAAGGAGAAGAAAGAATCATCACCTAAAGGAAGGACGTGAATGACGAAACAGAGGAGCAAGGGGAGAGCAGCAAGCCGATCAAGAAGGCCAGATGTTTTCGATGTCAATTCTGCAAACGGATCAATATTGATCCTGAAATAGAAATTGCAAAGGAAGAGACCCCCGAGATTATTTTCGGATCATTTGCCCCAGAAGAGATGAAAGTTTTGCGCAGCCAGATAGTAAAGCTTGATAAAGCAGGATTAGAAGTCAGGATGACGGATATGCGATGGTTCGTTGAAGAAGAACCCATCTGGGCTAAGTTCGAGGAGGAGGAAGAACCAGAATGGGCAGCAATGGTTGGAAGACCCCCACCTATGGTTTTTCCACCTATACCAGAAGGGGCAACCCCGCATTTAAAACCACTCTATGTTAACGCTTATATATGTGGTAAGCCGGTTAACAAGGTTTTTATCGATAATGGGGCTGTTTTTAATGTCATGCCCCTCAAAACTTAGAGAAAATTGGGTAAAGAGATTGGTGATTTATCTCTAGTAGACATCGAGATGACAAGCTTCACAGGACAACCGACCAAGCCAGAAGGGATGATGGTGGCGCCAATTGAGGTTGGACCGAAGGTGATTTCGACTGTATTTTTTGTTGTGGATGCCAATACTACCTACTCAGTTTTGTTGGGGCGAGATTGGATGCACGCTTCCAAATGTGTGCCTTCTTCTCTCCATCAACAAATTATGTTTTGGGAAGGAGATCAGGTTTACACCATGGAAGCCAGTACGAATCCGTTTAGCTCTACAGAAGGAGTGGAAGAATCGGTTCTTTATACGGAATACGAACCGCCTATTTCGCGGACAACTATGGTAGATGAGTATCCCTGGAAGGGTTGTAAGCTCACTACGCAGGGTTGCGTGTTTCATTAGAAACAATTTTATGTTTTTATGGCTCTGTCGTTAGCCAAAATAAACTTTTACTTGAAGTTAATTTATGGAAGAAATAAATAAATGTGATAAACTAATTAGACAGTTTTATTTAAACCAATTAATGGTTAGATTATATAATAATAAAATTTCCAACAATAATGTTGGCGAAGAAGAAGGTTTTCATTGGCCCGATCTCCTGGAAAAGACAGAAACTTCTCTGTCAAGTCAGGACCCCCTCATTGAATATAATGTGGGAACCAAACAGATACCCAAGATGGTTAGGGTAAGTGGTTTACTGACAAAAAGTCAAGATGAGCAAATAATAGCGCTAATTCGAGATCACAAGGAATGTCTGGCATGGGATTATTCCGAAATCCCCGGATTAGCGCGCAGTTTAATAGAACATAGGTTGCCTGTTAAAAAGGGGTTTAAACCTTACAAGCAACCACCAAGGAGGGTGAGTCCAGAATTGATGCCCCAGATCAAAGAAGAAATTGAGAAACTACTAAAGGTTGGTTTCATTCGTCCATGTCGTTATGCGGAATGGTTAGCCAATATCGTTCCGGTAACCAAAAAAAATGGAAAGATCCGAATTTGCATCGACTTCAGAGATCTCAATCTCGCCACTCCAAAAGATGAATATGTTATGCCAATAGCAGACATGTTGATCGATTCTGCGGCGGGACAGCGGATTTTGAGTTTAATGGACGGATACGCAGGGTATAATCAAATTTCATTAGCAGGAGAAGATATACCCAAAACTGCATTTAGGTGCCCAGGAGCGTTGGGAATTTATGAATGGACAGTTATGCCATTCGGTTTAAAGAATGCAGGGGCGACCTACCAACGGGCTATGAACACTATCTTTTATGATCTTATTGGGCGGTCAATGGAGGTATATATTGATGATGTGATCATTAAGTCTACCGACTTTGATTCACATTTGGTTGATTTAAAAAATGCTTTTATTCGGATGAAGCAGTACAACCTGAAAATGAACCCAACGAAGTGTGCCTTTGGAGTTTCAGCGGGGAATTTCTTGGGGTTCTTAGTACATGAAAAGGGAATAGAGGTACAAAGTTTTTTGGGAAAGGTAAATTACCTAAGGCGTTTTATATCAAACGCTGTGGGGAAATTAAAACCTATCACGAAGTTATTACGAAACAAGACTACTGATTTTTCTTGGGGTCGGGATCAACAGAAGGCATTGGAGGAAATCAAGGAGGCATTGGTTAACCCGCCTGTGTTGGTCCCTCCAAGAGGCGACCGACCTCTTCGGTTATATTTGGCGAACAATTTTGATGTGGTAAGCAGTCTCTTGGTACAAGAATGGGAAGATGGTAAGGAAAGAGCCATTTATTATCTAAGCAAAACTTTAGCAGGACCTGAGTTGAATTACAGTATGCCCGAAAAAATGTGTTATTCTTTTGTCTTTGCCTGCACGCGGTTGGAACATTATATTCTGCCAAGAGAAACCGAAGTGGTTTCTAAAATGGATTTGGTTAGACTAATGTTGCACAGACCAACCATGCAAGGTAGAATGATGAAATGGGCTATTAAGCTGGCTCCCTTTGCACTACGCCACCGACCTCTCAAGGCTGTGAAAGGACAAGTTGTGGCTGATTTGTTGGTTGAGTTTACGAGCGATGGATCATCAGAAAACAAAATAATGTCATATATTGGCACCAGTCCTTCGAAGATGTTTTTTGATGGTTCCCGTTCGAAAGGGAAATCGGGAGCGGGAGTAATACTAGAAGGACCAGGAGGAGGCAAAATAATTTGCAGCTTCAAATGGAAGATATGAGACATAACTCCGCAGAATATGAAACACTGATTTTGGGTCTGGAAGCACTTATCGCTAAGGGAGTACAGTCTGTGTTAATCTATGGAGATTCTCAACTTGTTATCAACCAAGTATTGAAACGGTACGCGTGTAATTTTCCCCATTTGCGTCGATACCGAGATGTAGTGCTACACTTGTTATATAGAATCGGGGAAGTAGTTTTTGAGCATGTACCAAGAACGGAAAATCAGTTGGCTGATAATCTGGCTCAAAGCGCTTGTCAGCGGTTGATTGGCAGTCTCGATTCTGGGACTGATTGGAGAACGGAGATCATGGAATATTTGGAATCTCCAAAATCTACTGCTCTGGTTCGTGTTCGCTTAAAGGCACTGCGTTTTCAACTAATTAATGGGATTTTATATAAAAGAACCTTTGAAGGGGTTTTGCTGAGGTGTTTGGGACCTGATGAAACTATTAAAATAATGGAAGAGGTCCATGGAGGAATGTGTGATGCGCATAGGGCAGGTTTAAATATGCGATGGGCCATTCATCGTATGGGATTCTATTGGCCGAAGATTTTTGATGATTGTATCAGATTTGCCAAGGGATGTCAAGATTGCCAGAAGCATGGTCCTTTACATCATTTGCCAACAGTGGATTTGCAGACAAAGGTTAAACCTTGGCCATTCAAAGCTTGGGCATTGGATGTAATCGGAAAGATTCATCCGGCCTCGTCGAAACAACATTCTTTTATTTTGGTGGCGACTGATTATTTTACCAAATGGGTAGAAGCAGTTCCCTTGAAGAATGCGACGCAGAAAGAAGTGATCGAATTTGTACTCAATCATATCATCTATCGATTTGGAATTCCTCACACTCTCACAACCGATCAAGGGTTGATGTTTACTGGGGAAAAGTTTATTGAGTTTTTGGCCGAATACAATGTCAAATTACATCATTCTTCACCATATTATCCACAGGCGAATGGATTAGCCGAAACAGCAAATAAAATTATTATTGGCATTATCCGAAAAATGGTGGAGGAGAATCCAAGGAAATGGCATACTCTGCTCTCTCAAGCATTGTGGGCTCATCGAAACAGTAGAAGTACTTCTACTGGATTCTCTCCATACCAATTAACATTCGGGCAAGATACAGTATTACCTGCAGAATTTTTCGTGCCTTCACCCAGGGTGACCAGTACAACAGCTTATGTTGATGAGATGTATTTACAAAAGATGTGGCAACAATTGGAAGAGTTAGATACAGATCGATTGAACGCATTGGACCAAGTAATTAAGCAGGGTGAGATTAGGGCAAAATATTACGGAAAAGGGGTGGTCCCAAAGCTCTTTGCAGAAGGCGATCTGGTCTGGAAGACAATTTTGCCGACTTATAAGAAAGTAGATCAATTGGGAAAGTGGTCTCCCAACTGGGAAGGTCCTTTCATCATTCATAAGTTAATTGGAAATGTAGCCTTTATTATCATAAATGAAGAGGGAAAAACGGTACATAAGAATATTAATGCTAAGTATCTGAAAAGGTATTACCCTGCCTTTTCGGAACCTTGTCATTGATTATTTGGAAAAAAGAAAAATTATAGGACCCTTTAAAGGGTTCGAACCCATTGGTAAAAAGGGTTCTCTAATCATCGGAAAGATTAATGGTGTCATCCCAGACTGCTGAGGTCGAGACCAGTTCAGGTTCTTCATCCAGAAGATCATCCAAATCCAAGCGGTAACGATCCCATTTGTCTTGCATGTCTTGAAGATTTTGCTCAGTTCGGGACTTCATGTCCTGCAAAGACTGAATCTCTCGTTCAGCGAGGACACTCAGTCTGCAGAGCGTTGATCTTTGTGGTTGAAAATCGTTGTTCTAGCTAAGGTCTGGGAGAATGGCGGTTACATAATGGTTTATCATGTCTAGATGATGGTCGAGGTCTGATATACGTGTGAGTATGTCGGTATAAGGTTCGTAGCTGGTAGATATATGCTCCATCAGTCGGATGGTACGATGAATGGTTCTCTTGCCTCTGCCGGAGAATCTGAATTTGAAATCCAGTTGTTTCAGAACCTGTATCATGTCTTCAGCGTGGTGGCCTATGGGGTGCTTGCCTACTAAGAATGGTTGGAGAGCACCTTCCCAGTTTGAGAGAGGAACACGGAGACGAGGAGAAACCATATTGTATGAAAAGTAATGGTGATGTTTTGGAGATTGGAGGTACGGAGTTTATATAAGTATTCTAGTTTCTAAGTTAGGTGATTTAGTAATAGGCAATAAATACGGATCTATGTTTGCTGGATTAGACTCAGTAAACAACGCAGGAAAGATAGGATCTGTTTTCTAGAAATAGGAACAATATATTTGAATTACAAGGAGAGAAGCGCCCGTAAAGCAGTTTTTAGATTGGACCATTTGAGTTCTGACTTGATGGCCCGACGACGTTGGTATGCTTCTTGGTGTCTCTGGACGAGTCTCGTTTGAATGGCTGCCTGAAGTTGGTCGCAAAGACTGGCTTGGTTAAGGCAATGTGTTTCAACCAGACGACTTCCCTCTTGTATGCTATCATCTATAGCTTCCAATCGTTCTTGAAGTCGTCGTAGTTCTTCAGTCTTTTGAGCGATTTCAGTACCTAATGTTTGTCTCTCCTGCCGGAGCTCGTCCAGTCGGGCCCTAGCCACGCTAAGATCTTGGTCAGCCTTCTACAAATCTGCTTCAATATTATTAGGATCTGCTGCCGGATGGGAGGAGGTCGCTTCGGATAATGGGGGTCGGATCAGAGGAAGTTCAGCTTGAAGTTCAGTGATCCTGGCCATCATCCGATCGAAAACTGGTGAAGCTCCCGACTCCAGGGCAGGTTGAACCAATAGGGTTATTGCGACTTGGACTAGGGCCGAAAGGTCAGCCAGTTCTAAGTCAGCAAAATCCAAATTGGCGCATCGTTCCACAATGGTTATGACGGGAGTCGGGAGATCTATTCGGGTCAAAATGTTCATCTCCTGAGCAGCCTGAACCAGAATGAGATTAGCAAGCTAAAAGACATGGGAAAATTGTTTAAGAAATAAGGGCGGAAGGTTACTTGATCCAGGGCAACTGTAGCCTCGGAAGGGGCCATAAGTTGGAAAATTGAGGGGTTGACTGGTCTGGTAATCGGACCAGCAACTGATTCATCCCCTGGTGGAAGTTGTTGGGCGGCTGCTAAATCCATACCCTGAACAGAAGATAAAAGTTTACAGCACCGTTGGATGGGCAAAAAATAAAATCCGAAAATGGATGAGAAAGGGTACCAACTGGATCCAGCGGGGCAAAATTAACGGAAGCTTCACCCGATCTTGAGGAGGAAATTTTCTCTACTTCATGGGGTGGTTGGACTGGTTCAGGTTGGACTGGTTCGGGACCAACAAGAGGAACCTCATCAACTTGCTGAACAAGCGGGTCGGGTAAAGCCACGACCTGGTCGGGGTCGGGCAATACCACATCTTCAATAGGTGCCTGGAACAAATAGGTTTTAGGTATCAGAAGTTTTATCAGGAGGATGTTGTTGAAGGAAGGTTTAGCGCTTACTTGTTGAGGTTCCGCAACTTGGTCGGGGAGGACAACAGGTTGGTCGGGCATCACCGCAACCATATCCGACGTTGGGGGAGGAGGTAGCCTGCCCATCGATTCGCCTGGTCGGTGTGCCTACAATAAAATGTTCGAAGTTGTTGTTTAAGATTAATATTTTGTTGGTCTAAGGAATGTCAGAAACTATCTTTTACCTCTGATTGTCTGGGGGTCGGTTGTGTGGTGATCGGGACTATGGCTAGTCGATCGGTGGTCCGGACCATAGATGGTTGTTCTATGGTCGGGACGGCAGTCGATCGGGACGAATATAAATTGATGGGAAGTTGTGCCTCGGGTGATTGTTGGTTGGTCGGTTGAGATGTGGTCGGGCCAGTGGTCGGGAGCATTGAAGGATCTTCTGAAATAGACATATTGAAGTTAGAAAGGGGCCGTATGAAAATAACATAAGGAAAGGAACAAAAACTTACCAAATTGTTGCCTTAGATACTTTGGCATCCCACTGGTATCTATTGGCAGAGAAGCCAAATATTCCTCGATGGCCTGCCTATCGATAGCAGGAGTCGCCTTTGCTTTTTGTCTTTTTGCTCCCGACCCACCTGCCGCAGGGGCTTGCCTTTTCCTTCCTCTGACTGCTAGTCGGGGGGAGCCAAGAGCCAGCGCTGGGGGTGGAGCAAGTCTCCCGACCAATTGGTCAGTCGAAGGGGCAAGTAAAGACCAGGTGGCCGACCACCAGGAAGGAAAATTTTCGGTTGTCGAAGGTTTTGGGCAGAACGGGAGATATGAATTCGAGGTGATGTAGCTGGTGAGTTGAGAAATATAGGTCGGGATGAGTTCGGGAATCACCAGACCCTCGGGGCTTTGAAATATGAGGTGAGGACTGGCTAATGGCCCTGGTATGCCTTGGCAGCAACCAAATTGCCTCGACAAAAATTGAGGTTGGTAATTGTAAGTAAAAAATGATCTACGATTCTTCTTATCCGACTTCCTACTAGAAAACAAAGATCGGGGTTTTATTGCGGCGTCCCAGGAAAAAATATAGGTCGGGTGAGGGAGAGGATCTGGGCGAGTTAAAGGATAGGTTGGGTCGGGATAAAGAAAGAAAAGATCGGTCAAATATTGCATTAAGGTTGTATATACAAAAAAACGGGAATTGTTCCGATCTTCGGTCAAAATTTGGGTTATTATAGAGCTAGAGAATTTTAGACAAGAAGAGTTCGGGGTCAATCTGGCTAAGGCATAGCCAATAGACCTATAAGGGTTAGGAGAAATTGGGAGGCGACCAAAAAATGCAGAGGGGAAGTATAGACGGAACCACAGTTCCAGGAACCAAAATGGTCCCGAGGCCGCAGTGTCCGCCTTTTTGGAATCTGTAAGACGGGAACTTACTCGGGTTAAACCTTCAAAGAGGTTGGCTAGAAATAAGGTACCTAAAGAAGAGAAATGACCACATGCCAAATAAATGGCTAGGTCAATATGAGTTGAAAGGACAAGTTTAGAAGGGGAGAAAATGATATATCTGTGAAAGATAAGAAGAAAGAAATGTAAGCTCAACATTCAAACTTTGTGTATACCAAAGATATAAAAAAAAAAAAAAGGGAAGAAAATATACCTGCAGAGCCAAAAGAGAAGGAAAGCAGTATGTTCCAACTCGGAAACAGGGGTATCCTCCTTACCCTGATATTTATTGACAAAGTATGTCCACCTTCTTTCTCTTTCAGGCAGTTTGGCCAGAGCCTAACCTTGATGGTTGGGGGGAAGTTCTTGCTTCCCGAGAGAAACCAAAACGGGGTCCTCTCCTGTGATCGGCAAATGCGCGATCACTGCTACATCCATTAGGGTTGGACCCATTGGACCTGAAAGGAGGAAAAAGGCACCTGTTTGCGAATGCCAAAAAGCCGCCATGGCCATCAGAACCTTGTCATGGAGGTAGAGGGGTTGCGTCGAAAGGATAATAGCTTTATCGATTCCTTGGGCTTTCCATTGATTTTCAAAATGTGGAAGGAGCCTCGCGTACCATTTCCGGTAAGCATCCTTTGGGTCGGTCAAGTGAGTCTTGATGCTATCCAGAAGGCGTTCCGGTTTAAACGCTTCATTGTTGACGATAATGGGATAAACTTGAACAATGACTGAGCTCATACGCTCAGCATCCGCGGCGGTAGTGCAGTAAGGGCGGATTGTAGGGGTAAGAACTTTGGAAGATACAAGGGGTATTGAGGGTTCGGTTCCGTCAAAAGGGAGTGCAGGAACGTATTGGTTAGCCATTTACGTGAGGGTGAGAAAAGGTTGAAGGAGAAAACGAATGAGGGAGTTATACGAGAGCAGAAAGGGTTTTAGAATTGTGAATGTGTAAATTTGAGAAGATGTAGTGGGGGTTTAACATAAACCCTTTGATTTGACGCAGAGCAGTGTGATGATCACACTGTAACCCTAAAACGTCACGTCTTCCGTAGTTCGAGGAGTGACGTTTCGGCGGGATGAGGCAAGTTGTTGAGCACAAAATAATGGATAGGTTTTTAGGAAATGGGCCTGCCAAGATTAGGTCATCCGAAATGTCCAATGGGCTTTTGAAAGTCCAAATATGATTGCAGTAACCAGGTCGGATGAGTTTTGAATTTGTCCAAAACTGGTCGGGTAAATCCCCTAGGTTGGGCGAATGAAGAGATTGGACCTAGTCGGGACCAAGTAGTTCGGACGTCAAAATCGGACCTAATCAGGTCAAAATCCGAGGGTCAGATTTAAGAAAGTCGAACGGTTGATAAGATTGGACCTGGTCAGGACCAAATAGATCGGATATAGAAGTCGGACCTAGTCGGGACAAATTCCAAAGGGTCGGGCATAAGAAGGTTAGGTATTAAAAAAAAAATAGTTATCCTATAGGTCGGGTAAAATGCAGTTTCTGGTAGTGGGGAGTAGTTTCGATTGGTGAGCGGTTTTTAAAATCGGACGTGACGTGATGGTTCTCATACGTGTCGATAGAAGAGAATTTTTTGGGGAGTTAACAGCGGTTATGGTAACGGACCGGATAGCGGTTCGAACCGTATCTTCAAGGGGTTATTTAAAGATTCTGTACGGTATAGAGAGGACATCTTCAATCGACATCAAATTCAAGAAAATCGCTTTTGGGGATCACCACTTTATTTTTCAGTCTTTATTTTATTCTTATTTCATTCTACAGTGTTTAGAAGTTTCTAATTTCAGACATTCATCTATCAAATTCGGGAATATTTCTCTATTTTCGAATTTTACTTTTTATTGTTGAAAAAACGCATCAACAATATTATTAAATTTATTTTTAAAATAATACTCCATTCTTCCCGTGCAAGGTTGCCGTTTACTTTTTGCACGTAGATTTTTTAATATTAGTATTATAATGGGTTGTAATGAAAAAGACGAAAATACCCCTATTAGTATTGTATAATATAAAAGTAATTGCATTTGTGTAATATAGTGTAAATTACAAGGGTATTTATTGTGCTAGGTAGAAAGTACAATTACTAAATTAAAAAAATTTAACCTTATTTTGGGACGGACGAAAATGAAAAATGACAATCTTTCAATGGGATGGAGGGAATATTAACGATAAATATAATAATAAACTATAAAAAATAAAAATTATTTTATTCATATATCCAATAAAAAAGCATAAGGACAAAGTGTATCATCAATAACAAATAAATAATATAATGATTATTGTAAAACCAATAGTATAATAATTATAACACTAACAACAGTAATAATAATACTATGAACTCCAAATATATTTTATATTGCAAGATCTTTGTACAAATAAAGACAAACAAAAATAAATTTAAGTTAACTTTTAATTGGTAGGACGTGGTGCCGGTGAGAAAAAAATGGAGATGGGGAAAAGAAGTTGTTCAAGTTTAATTTTAGAAGTACAGATAAATTGGATAATAAAGAAAAAAATAAATTAAAATCTAAAATCTAATTTAAATTTAATAATCTAATAACAATAATGGTCTAAATTCTAAATTTATGAGCCCTCTCTTGAGCACTTGCTCATGTTACTCCCCGCAAGAGTCGGCCATGTGTATATGTATGCTAGCGTAATAACCATGCTATGTACTAGTACATTATTATTAAAATATAAAATAATTAATATAATTTTAAGTTATAAATTATATTTATAATAGATATTTTAAAATTTTATTTTTATTTTTTAATTTATCAAAACAATTAATAAAAATATTGGTATTTTAGAATTTTAAATTTATTTAAGCGTAAAATTAAAAAAATATAATATCTTTGATATGAGGTTTTTTATTTGTTCAAATAATAATTTAATATCTTTTATGACAAATATAATATAATTTTATTAAAAAAATTATAATAAAAATACTACTCCCTCCGTTCCACATAATTTATTTCTATTTTTTATTTTCGTCCGTCCCACATAATTTGTCTTTTCTTTTTTTGGAAAATTAATTATACACTTTAATCATATTTTAAAATTTAAAATTTAAATTTTTTTTAATCTTAATTAAATTATTTAGTTATCTTAATCTTAATCTATAATTATTTTTACTAAATAATAATTATTTTTATTTTTACTAAATAATAATTATTTTTACTAATACATTTCTTAATTACTTACTAATTATACTTTACCTAAATTCTCGTCTCTACAGTAATACACCTATATTACATGGGACGGATGGAGTAAAAAGTATTGCAAAATAAATAAAATCTTGAATTTTAAAAATTAATAATATATTAGTATATAGATTAAATTTTATATTTTTTTAAAACTACAAATAATTATGATTCCCTTATATAAAAAAATACCCCTTCAAAGTTCAAACCATTTCACAAAATAACCCTACCAAATATATATAAAAAGATTTCTAAATATAATTATTAAAATTTGCAATTAATATATAACATTAAACTTAATAATATTAACTAAACAAAATACAATCTAAATGTATTAAATTATGCATATCTCTACATATTATAAAATAAATTATACAAATGAAACTGTAATAAGAAAACATGAAAGAAATCAAATAAAGAACACAAATATTTTACGTGGTTCGATGACGGTGTGTCAACCTACGTCTACGGGTAGGAATCAG